ATCCTACATTTATGGTTCTCCCAGCCTTCAAAGCTCTATGTGCCAGGAGCCGGGGGTAAAGAAGTAAGACACAGCCTCAGCCCTCAAGAAGCTCAAGTAACAGAAGTGACAGGTTTCATTAAAGTCCCTCCAGGTCTTTCCTTCCTTTCTGTTTTCATCTGCCTGGTCCCTTTCCAGTCAGTCCTTCTCTGTAATTTGACCCAAACATAGCTCTGCCACTAATTTGCCCCATAGGTTCCTTCTCCTCAGCCGGTTTCTCATCCTGAAAACTTGGCAGGGGAGCCTGATCTGTGGAGGATTGACCTCTGGTGTTGTATTGCTGAAACTGAGAAGCTGTACTATTTCTAATTTATTTGTTAAAACCCGTAGGAACAAATTTTTAAATAAATTTCATCTACTCAAAAGACAAATTTAAAAATCAATCAACCAACAACCCGGACGAGCTCGAAAGACAGCAAACGTGCATAGGACCTGGGAGGAGCCAGGTTTCCTCACTTCCTGGAGCAGCATCTACACCCTGTCCGCAACCCCTCGGGGTTGAAATCTTTTCCCGCCTGCTGCAGAAGGGACATGGCGGTGGAGGAAATCTACACCCTCTTTAGGACCAAGACGGACTGGCGGCAGGGTTTAATCTCGGGCTGGGCACCTAGCGACTGGGGGTACCCTCTGCGGGAGAAGGGCTAGGCGGGACTCCGCAGGGCGAAGGAGGCGGCGCGGGAACGGTCCCCGCCCCGGCGACGCCTGCCGTCTGGCTCCGCCCTGCGCAGCCCTACGAAGCGAACCCAAGGGATGTAGCAGCACCCCGGTAGCTGAGGCAGGAGGCCGCAGGAGTGGGAGCCGGTTGGGGGGCTTCGAGAAGCAAACGGCGGTAGCGGCCCGACTTGGTGGTACAAGACCCGAGCGCCGGTACCTGCGAAGCGCGGGGTGACGGCGAACGCACCAGCTGAGCCCCCAGTAGCTGCAGCCCCTGCGCCCGTTTGCTTTGGGGTAAGAGTAGGGGGCCGCAGCTCTGCAGCTCGGCGTGATGCACCGGCGCCCTCTTCTTGGTTTGGTTTGAACTTGCACTGCCTTTTAGCCCGGTGGCCAGGATGCGGGTGGGGAGGGGGACATCAAGTCCTGTAGGCTGGGCCCTGGGGCTGCGGCGGGAGTAAGAGTGGAAAGAGGGATCTATCCCAGCCAGACCTGTCTCATCTCCAGGTGGTCCTCATCCGCCGCCCTCCTGGACCTTCTGTCCAGGGCGTCCGTCCTGACGTTAGTACTCGGAATAACATACTTGGCAAAAGGAGTCCCGGTTTGAACACACGGCCCGAGTCTCCCAGGTGAAACCCTCAGCACTTATCCTCTGCCGCCGCGTTTCACAGAAGACGAACCCAGTCCCAATAAGGGAAGAACTGGCCCAAGGTCACAACGTAGTCAGAGGCCGAGCGGTAGTCCTGCCTCCCACCCCGAGCTCTAGGCACTGCTCCCTTCTCCCCGGTTCTGCCCCGTATCCCTCGTCTTCCTGCGTCCTCCACGAGGCTCTGTTCTCGGGGATTTGGGAGGTGGGAGTGGGGTGCTTCCTCTCTTCCAGTTGTGCCCTCGGGAAGAATGCTGGACAGGTCAGGCCTCGGTCCCAGCTTCCTTGAGTACAAGCGGAGCTGACTGTTGCTGGAGGACCGTACAGGCCATAGGACAGGGAGAGGAGGAGGACCGAGCGAGGTGGAGGAGCCATGGGGGCAGGCCGAGGATGCTGGGGTAGTGGTGGGCCCGGGCCAGCGAGGCCTGGAGCCACCGCAGCGCACTGGAGCGAGGACAGCCTGGCTTTGTTTGGATGGTGCCATCTCAGCCAATGGGAGCGCTACTGGGGCCGTGCCCCCTCGGCTCCCCGCCTCTGGTGGATAGGAAGGGACTGCGGCCACGTGATTGGCTGCTCCGTCCAAAGCGCGGGGCTTGGCGCTGCGCCTAGCAAGTTTGCGCCTGCGCGCTTTGCCGGCGTGCTGGAGCGCGTCGGAGATTTGCGCCAGGGCAGCGTCCTCGGGCAGCGTCCTCTTCTCGGGGTCGCGCGCTGCTGGGGGAGGGTTTGGAGCTGAGCGTGATGTTGAGCTCCCTTGAGCAGCGCGTGGCTTTTTCCAGCCAGTTTGCCAAAATCTGCTTGGAGTCAGCTGATGCTGAATCACTGTCTAACCCTGCAAGGGTTTGCAGAGGTACACGTTTCATTACCGTGGGCCTCCTGCTGCTGAGATCCTTTATGAAGCAGCAAAAGTCCTACTTTTCACCAGAGCTTTGGAGCCTGGCCCTGCACAGGGCATATACCCCTAGCGGGCGAGGAAGCTGACCTTTGAAATTTGTGTAGCTTTCATATTCTTTCAGTACACATTTACAAAGTGTCTGCTTCCTGTCAGACACCAGCCTTGGTCAGTGATAGAACACGTGAGTCTTATTTGTGGGATGCTCATAGTCCAGGTTGAGATTGGTGGTCAGGTGAGGGCTGTGGTTGGTTATAAACAGAAATACCTCTAATACTGCACAACTTAGGTTAAGTGCTGTTTCAGAGGCACAGAAGGAAGGAGTGAAATGCAAGTATGGGCAGGAGATTTGAGTTTTGATTTAGGGAATCAGGAAAGGTATCTTGAAGGAGGTATTATTTGAATCAGTTAGGACTTAGTAGATGAAGGAGACATCAGATTTGGTATAGGATGAGCAAATCACAAAAACTGGAAAGTACAGGGCTTACTGAGAGATGGCATAGCAAATGATATAATGGGTAGATGAGAAAAATATATTTGGAGAGACGATTTGGAGGGGCCTGGAAAGGACCAGGATACTGGGCTTGTACACTTTGATTTGAAATGCAGTAAGCACTTATGAATAGGACAGCTCCTTAATCTGTCAATTATACTAATGTCATTTTTTACATCTGCACCAAAAATCTTGGAAGTATCTTTGATTCTTCCTTTTTTCATATCCTGCGTTTAATTTGTTAGTAAATTGTAATGGGCTATACCTTCAAAACATAGCCAGACTTTGACCACTTCTAATTACCTCCATAGTTTCCACCAGGGCTGGCAGCCCTTTATATATCTCCAGGGAATACTTTTTCACATTTTCCTGGAGTTGTGCAGTGCACAACCTGCATGGCTGTACATGATGGTCCTGGATTACTGCCATAAGTTCTAAATGGTGTTCCTGCTTCTGCCTTTGTCCGTCCTCAGTCTATTCTTAACCCAGTGAGAGTTATCATATTAAAATACGTCTGATATGGTATTCCCCTGCTGAAATCTCTCTTAATTCATTCAAATATCATGTGCCTACTGTGTACAGGGCACTGTTAGGTGTTGAGGATACAACAGGGACAAAAAAGACAAAAATTCCTGCTCTCAGGGTTTACATTCTAGTGGGACTGAAATATGACAAATACAATAAGTAAGTACAATATGTATAATGTGGCAAGTTGCCAAGGAGGAAAAGAGAAGGAAGCAGGGAAGGGGGATAGAAAATGTCAGGGTAGGGATGGGATTGATGGGGTGGCCAGATAATGCCTTACTGAGTAAACATTTGAGTAAAAGATTGAATTGAGAGAATGAGCCCTGCGGAGAGTGAGGAGAAGAACGTTCCTGGTGGAGGGAAAATCAGGCAAAAGCCCTGAAGCATGAGCTTGCCTGACATGTTCCAAGTACAGCACGAAGGCCACTGTGACCAAAAGTGCAGTGAACAAGGAGGGACGAGATCAGAGAGGTCATGGGGACCTAGATTATGGAGGGCATTGTAAGCAGTCTGAGTGATTTTGGCTTTTACTCTGAGCAAAAATTTGGTGCAGGAGTGACATGATCTGATTTGTACTTCGTAGGCTCATGGGGGCAGTGTTGAGCAGTGTCTGTTGGACTAGGATGGAAGCAGGGAGCCTAGTTGAGACACAATTGCAACAACCCAGGCAAGAAGGGATGAAGTCTTAGCAAAGATGATAGCAGAGGATGCTTGATATACTGTGAAGGTGGAGTCAGGATTCGCTGACTGCTTGGCTGTGGAGTGTGCAAGGGAGGAGTCAAGAACAAGGAAGACTCAGAGGAACAGATATTCAGCGCCACGGCACAAGCTCAGTTTTGGACAGGCTAAGTTTGAGATACCTATTAAACATTCAAGTGGAGATGTTGGATGGGTAGTTGGATACCTTAAGCCTGGAGTTCAGAGGAGAAGCTGGTTGGAGATGAAAATTTAGGAGATGGCAGCATGTAAGTCATATTTAAAGCAATGAGAGCTCAGCCTGGTTGTGAGAAGAGACCAAGAAGGGAGCCCTGGGACTCCATCGTTTAGTGATCTGTCTTGAGTTTGGTAGGCAAGCCCTGTTCTAGGCGTGGAATGCCTGCTTAAGCTAGCAGTTGTAGTTATGGCCATTTTGGTAGCTCTGGTAACACTTTCTCTTGGGGAACAGCAGATGTCTCCTTGACAGAGTGGAGAGGGGGAGGCTCATGTTGCTGTTATGTTACGAGATCTATAGTGTGACATTCTCAGAATATGGGGCAAGCTTAGGAATTAATGATAATGATCTGCAGAAAGAACCTGCTTTTAGTGTGGTTTCACCAATATTCAGCTGCAACTAACAGAAACTTTAAACTTGCTTAAATCAACACAGAGAATAAAGACATGGCATGAAGCTGAAGGTAGGACGGCAGCTGGGTCTCTAAGAGCAGAGCTCCCCTCTGGAGTCTCAGATGTTGTTTTTTCTTTCTCTCCACCTCCATCTCTGTTTCATTCTACGTATGTGCCTGACTATTCTCTCTGTCCATCTGTCTCTCTCTCTCCAGACTGGCTTTCTCCATCTCTCTTTCTGGCTTCATGCTCAGAGTAGCATGGCCACTTTCCTCCCCACTCTAGCAGCCAGATCACATGTCTCTGCCCCGCAGGGATGGATTTGCATTCTTCCACAGTGCCAGGGGACAGAATGATAGATTCATCTGTTGTCTTTCCTTGACCCAGTGGCCCTGGGAAGGGGGCGGGGTTCTCATTGCACAACTACAGCTACAGAGGCCAAATCCTGTGGGCAAGAGACAGGTCCAAGAGGACAGGGATCAGGTGAACAAGACAGACACCCAAAAGATGGCCTCTGCAGAGAGTGTGATGTGTTGTTCTCTGAGGAGAACTGGCCATCACCTAAGTCTAATCTGGTGACTAGAGTGTTGGACTAATCCGAGTGTCTGCATTAGGTTTGCCTTTGCTGAACAGGGCTAAAGTTAAATCCTTGGCTTTTATTGAAGGTCTCTGTTAAAGACAGCTATATGAAAGTCATGTCTGCATTTATGATAATATGGTAGTGAGAACCTCTACTCTATCATTTGATGTTCCTATATAATACTTTTAGACTTTTGTTCCAGAATAGTTATCTCTCTAAGGAATAATAGGCATCTTTTTTTGAATGAGGGCTTTAAAACTTGTCTGGTTTCCTTTTTTGATGGCCTCAAGGAATCCTCCATTAACTGTACAGTGAGCACACATATCTGAGCTGAGCTGGAACTTTCAGGTAAGATAATGCTAAGTGATCAGTTGGGAAATAGCCAAAGGGTAATAGACATTTTTCTGATGAGAGATCTCAAATGCAAATGCCCACAGTGTCCAGGCAGTTAACAGAGGTGATGTGGGTAGGCTTAAGATAGTAAGTGCAAACTTTTTGTATTGAGTTCAAACATAACACAGCTGCTTAGTTACATTGCCTTTTAAAACACTAGGTTGGCCAAAAAAAACAGCCAAGTAGAATGTGTTGGAAACAGGCTGCGAGTTGTCAGATGTTGGAGTCTCACACAGCTCACTGGCTTTAAGCTCCTCAGTGTGGGGTCTCTCCACAGGATGGCTCTCTGCCTAAACCCAGCATGCCCTCCTCAGTAGAACAGAGCCTTCCCTTCCTGCCTGGTATTACCAAGGCCCATCCAGACTTCATGTCCAGAAACTCAAGAGTTTTCTCCTTCCTGCCAAAGTCCAGCCTCCTGAATTCTCTCAGTTCGCTGCTGATGCCCTGCGTCTTCTGAGGATGTCAGTACTGGGGATATCTGCCACTTGCCGGGGACACCCTGACCCTGACCCACAGGAATGCAACCAGCTATGTCCTCTGCAAGATAGTCCTGTCAGAACGCAGCAAGCGAGCCCAGCGTCAAGACCAGGATGAACACCGGTTTTTATTGGAGGAGGGGTGCAGTCCATGGGTTTTACATTGACAATGCAAAGGACATGCCCTTGAGAGCAGACCTAAGTGTTCTCAGTGTTAGAAAAGTTTCTCCCAGGTTAATTAATATGTGAGCATCTTGACTTTGTGACAGTATCTTATAAATTTGATAATCGAGCAGCTGATTGAGGTCAAGGCTAAGGAGATGGTCTTGCCCCGACAGGGACTCTGCCTGCCTCCTTGCAGCACCCTCCTCCCACAACCATTTATTTCCAAACCAAAAGGCTTTTCAAGTTTGAGAAGCTAATATTTACAGAGAATAAAGCCCAGCCCAAGACATAAGATGACAAACAAACCTGAAGAGTGTGCAGGAATCCCACTGCCTATAGCATTGTTTTGGGGGGTGAAAACAGCAACATAATTAAGAAATGTAAAAAGGAGAAGAAAAAGAGTTCTAAAATTCTAACATTTTGTATGTAAGAGACTACATTGTGAATGGTGCATTATTAAAGGAGCTGAGTTTTTGTGCACTTTAAGCTATTTTGAGTGCAGCACTTTTAAATATTGCTGACTCAAAGGAAAATAAAATTGAAAGCAGCCCTCTCTGTGGAGATAACTTTGAGGCATTCTCTGCCACAGGCATGGAGCAGAAGGGACGGGAAAGGGCTTTAATTAGAGACAACTGGATTTAAAAATCACCCAGCGGTGGTGACCTCAAACTCCAGTCCTGGCAGAAGTAGGTGGAGATATGTGTGCTCAGCCAACTGGTCAGTATTTGGGTGGGGTGGGGGGCACCCCTTAAAGAATCTGAGCCCAGCATGGGCCTGTGCCTTCTAAGGAGGGCCAGTCTATGGTGGGGGTTGTGCGGCGGTGGGGGTAGGGTTCGAGCACTTAACTCATCCCCACTCAGCAGAGACTTCACTGAGTGCCTTCTTTGGGTCAGGTTTTTTCTGGGAATGAGGGATTCAGTGGTGACCAAGATGGACGAGGTTCCTGGCCTCACTGAGCTTGTGCTCTAGAAGGGGAAGATAAAGTAATGAAGTAATTTTGGGTTGAAGGATGATTTTTTAAAATAATATTTATTTTTTCTAAATTTCTTTTATTTTGGAGTGGGTGGTAATTAGGTTTTTATTTGTTTGTTTTAATGGTGGTACTGGGGGTTGAACCCAGGGCCTTGTGCATGCTAAGCACGTGCTCTACCACTGAGCTGTATACCCTCTCCCCAAGGATGATCTTACAGAGGGCAGCCCCTGTGTGTTGCATGGGGGGTTGGGGCAGCCTCTCTGAAGCTGGTAGGGTGGGAAGGACTCAGCCATCTAGAGTGGGGAAAGGCAAGGTCCAGGGCCACGAGGTGAAAACGAGCTTGGTGTATGTTCAGGAGGTCAGTGTGGCTCCAGTGCAGTGAGCACAGGGAAGGTGGTGCCGGAAACTGAGAGCAAGGGAGGCCGAGGTCCGTTCCAAAAGGCATGGAGAGGAGGCTTTTAGGCAAGGGAGTCACATAACCTGACTGGGGTTAGAAAGATCTTTCTGGCTGCAGGGCTGAGAATGGAGTGTGGTGAGTAGGGGCAGGGGTGGAAGCAAGAGCCTACTGCATGGTCCAGAAAGGATCACATAGATCAAAAGGTCCCTATTTGTTTGCCTTTCCTGAGGATTGAACTCCACGTGCCTCCTGCAGTGAACACCCTGCGGTTGGCTAGTTAATGAATTTATTCCACACCCACTGGCCCAGGGGGCTGGTTATCAGTTAGATTAGGGGTGCTGGCAATAGGACAGGGAAGGAGCTGCCTCTCAGGCAGAGCCTTATTACTGATAAGAACAGGTTAACAAACCAGAGGTGGGTGTGCAAGGAGAGACTAGGATGGTTCACCAGGAAAAGAACAATAGCTCCCCCGCTGTAGTTGCCTTGGTCAACTCCCTCGCCTCCTCCCTTCCCTTCCCTTAGGCCGGGAGGAATCACCAGAGCAGAATTAAGCAGAGTTTGAGGGCAACTAATATACCTGCTGATCAGCAATTCCTAATGCACGACTAGTCACAGTGCTGAGTAGCCTTAAGGTGACACCAAGTGATACATGTCGTTGTCACAACCAAGTTGATTTAACCTGGACAGGGGCTGGTAGGGTGGTGGGGGAGACTCTGTGTGTGTGTGAATTGAGGTTGATTAGAGTGTGTCTCAAATTCTAGCTCCAGTCTCCAGGCTTTTATGAGTTGCTGATGAATTCAGCCCCCGAGTTGGACCCTGTGTGTGGTGAGGTGGGGAGAGAGGTGGAGAGCTGAATCAGATGCTACATGGCCCGGGGCTGGAAAAGCTGCCCGGAGGCATGTGGGCACATTGAGATGCATGTTCTGCTGGATATGGTGAACACAGACAGGAGAGAGGAACTCATGGAGCTGGAATCTCTGAGGAGGCAGGTCCCCCAGTGCCCCTGCACAGCCTGGTTTGAAAGTCACTAGTCTATTCCAACCTTGTTATGCTGCAAATGGGTGATGACGCATCCAGGGTTGCCCTAGAGTTGATGACACAGCCAGAGCCAGAGCCCAGGTTTCCAGATGTCCCAGCCTCCTGACTCTTTCCATCATGTGAGGATGAAGCTTGAGAGGAAGGTGGCAAGAGGAGACTGCCTGGTAGCATGACTGGACCTGGGCCAGACAGAGCCCAGTTTGACTTTCACAACCTGGAAGGAATATAGCCACCCTTGAAGGCAACAAGGCAATGCTGAGGGTGCCTTTATGTTTCAGAACCCACCAGGAGGAGCCTGACCATTCTGCCTCTTGTGGCCACAATGCTGACCACTCGCCTCTCCAGACCCCTGTCACAGCTCCCAAGGAAAACCCTGAGTTTCTCTGATAGAGGGAATGGAACCAGGTAAGAAATTGAAGGGTGGAGGTAGCCTTGAGGGTTATAGGTTCTGGGCAAAGCAAAGCTCTTCACACATAATAAGGCTTGACTCTCAAAAATGTCTCTCAATACCCATTGTCTATCAGCAAAGGACACTTGAAGGTGTCCTCAGAGGACCGAGACCTTCCCACGGCTCACAGGGCACAGAAGAATATCTTTCGTCAGATTATTTTTTAAACTTTTTATTTTGAAATAACTCTACACTTACACAGAAGTTGCAAAAATAGTACAAAAGTTTCCTTATCCCCCTTTCCTAATTTCCCCAAATGTTAGCATCTTACAAAACCATAGTGCAATCATCAAAACCGGGAAATTACCACTGATATACTACTACTAACTAACCTATAGATCTAATTAAAATTTCACCAAATGACCCAGTAATGGACCTTCTCCTGGTCCAGGATGCAAACCAGGGTCCCCAGTGCATTTAGTTGTTGTGTCTTCTTACTCTCTCCCTCTGGGGGCACTTTCTCAGTCTTTGTTGTTCATGACCTTGACACCTTGGAAGACTGTCTCTCAGTGTGGATTTTGGGATGTTCTCATGTTTAGATTCAAGTATGCATGTTTGGAAAGGTAAGGTGGTGCCCATCTTGGTGCATCACATCAGGAGGCACAGATCCCATTACTTTGATTACCTGGCTAACGGCGCTTTGAAAATGTCACATGTGAAACCAATTAAGCAAAATGTCCCAAGACTTCACTGAACTGTGTAATTTAGAGAAAGCATTAAGTAAAAATGAAAGAAGCAGCTCTTCTTTGAGAGCTCCTGGAAGTTGCCTTTTCCAAGGGGATTTAGTGTGCTCAGCTACCTCGTTTTATTCCTTTGCAGCCAGAGCAAGGAAAAAGTAATGACTTTTTCTTTCTTTTATATTTGAGAGGAGTTAAATCAAGTGGCAGGTTAAATTCAAAGTCCTGGCAGCTAGAAAATTGATGGTTATTTTCTATGCCAATAGATAAATTTAGAAGAACATGAATTTAGGTTTTTAGCAGCATTTGCTTAAAAACAATTCCATGGGATACTAAAGCTTGATTGGAGATGGGGCTTCAACTACCAGAGGACACCATATAAAAAGAGTTTTTAAATGGCCCTGTTGCCGAAATACAGCCTCTGTACCCCAAGCCTCCCTCATTTCCAGTCTAACCCTGGTCAGCAAGAGTGTGAGAAAAACCCTTTAAACTATCACACAGTTAAGCAGTTACAAACACCATTACAGTTGTCAGATGGTCACTGATGACAGTAGGGTCCTGTTCAGTTACAGCCCCTACTGCAGAGGTGACATCCCTCAGAGAGGAAATGGAACTTGGCTCTGACGCAGGACTCTTGGAAGAAGATGATTTACTGAAATTTTTTTTTCAGTGAGTGATTCATAGAAATGGTGAAAGTCTGCCTCAAAAGAGGCTTTTAGAGATTTCTGGAGGTTTTGTACAGAGGAGAAAGTAATCTCAAAGGAGGTTAAAATACTTTTACAAAGATTTTATCTTCAAATTAAAGGGAAGTGAATTAACTGCTCTGTATCCATCTGAACATTCTGTTTTTCACTTTAGTGAAATGACACGAAATATTCAGCACTTTATTATTTTAAAAAAATTAAAGGGAAGTGAGGCATTAGTTAGGCTTCTGGCTCATTTGAGTGGAAAGAAAAGCTGTCACAGGGGGTTCTGAATCTTCTAGAAGGCTTGCAGAAATAACCTGCTTTAGGCTGAGGGGAGTGGGGGCAGGGTGGTCAGGGGCAGAGCTGCGTCAGGTGCATTAGCTGTCTTCCAGGCAAAGTTGTCAGCAGAGGTCAGGGAGGGAGGGAGACCCAGGTGTGTGAGGAGGATGGAATGGTGGGTGATCACTGTGCCTGGATGAGACAGGAGGTCTTGGGTGGGGAAGAACTTTGGCCTGATCATTTTGCTTGAATCTCAGACTCCAGTCAACTACTTGTACGTCGATCCTGTGATCACATCCTTAACAAGTGAACTTACAGCCTCTATTTGAATATCTCCAGCCATGGGGCCATCAGCACCTCTCACAGCAGGCCTCCTGTCTTTGGACAGTGCTATTATAAAGTCCTTCTTCACATTGGGCAGAAATCTTTTCTCTGTTCCTCTTATTTCTGGGTCTGCCATCTACATTCATCCTGAATAAGTTCATCTCTTATCCCCAGAGACACCATACTACCCCGATACCTCCGTCCCCAACTTCTCTTATTGCGTCTGCATGTTTTGTCATTGCTCATCTCCCATGATTTCCCCATTCAGCACCCAGGTCTTCCACCTGAATGATGTCCTTTTGGCCTGTGCACCCCCATACCTGTATTCCTCAGGGCAGCAGTCAATCAGTACATAGCTCCTGTCCAGACAAAACCTCCCCAGGGATGGCCAGGTGTGGTCCCTGCCTGGACACCCTGCTCTGCTTACTGACACTATATAGCCCTCAGATTTCAGATTTCTGGCTTTGCCAGAAGGCTCTGGCTTCCCTCCTGGAGCCAGTGACTTACTGATGCATTCCCTACCTGGAACACTACCTCCCGGATCCTGGTTACACACACCAGCTGGCTTGGCCCCAGTGCTCAGCCCTGCCTGCCCGGCTGTGACGTGTAATACCCCAGGGCAGCCTGACCTGGGCAGAGTGGAGAGGGGCCCTTGCCTCCCTCATCCCTGACCAGCCTAGGCTCACATAGCTTCTTTTGGCAGCCCCATCACTTATGATTTTTATGATTTGTGGTCGACCAGACTACATTTTTTTCCACAGATGCTGCTGTGGGAGGCTGCATTTCTCCCCAGCTGCACTTGTGTCACTGATAATTGTCCCTCCTAAACCCATCTTGTTAGATTCAGCCTGTCAAATTGACTCCTCACTTCTCTCAGCAGACAGCTGCATTACTGTTTATTGTCGCTGATTCATGACAGAAGGAACAAAGGGATAGAGACATAAACTAGAAGGATGGAAAAGAAGACAGCATTAATGCCTTGGCCAGCGTTGGGTGGTGTCTTGAATGTGGCCTGGAAGTTCCTGGACACCAGTGCTCTGGAACCAGCCATTTCTTCCACAGGCCCTTGGGGAAGTGCCAACTTGCACCTGCTCCACCCTGTCTGATTGCACTTCTAGGTTAGGATGGAAATCAGCAAGCTCTCTCTGAATCTGGTGGCCACCTCTTTGGGACTGACCCCTCTGCAAGGTTACTGACAATCCTGAGTTTAACTTATACCACCTGTGAGACTTGCATAGCTCTTAGAGTAAGTGGTTTGGTTGACCAGCAGTTTGCTGCCACCGTAAGCCCCTCCTGGGGAGAGGGGACCCTCCAGGGCAATGCACACTATTTCATAGTATGGGGCTTGGACTTAACCCCTCAGGGGCATTCTTAGCCTTGATAAGCCAGTGTATCAGAACTGCATCACACTAAGAAGAGCAAGGACCTCCAGAAGGCTAGGGCTGGAGTGGCATCAGTGGACCCAGGCTTCTTTTATTTTTCTGCTCTGTCGTCCCAATAGCGGCTCTCACCTCAGAGTGCCGTGATTCTCTTCCACCTCCAGCCCCAGTCCAGGCAGGGAAAAGCAAAGCAGCATGGAGGAAGGGAGGAGCTGCCCCTGCATCAGGAGAGCAACTCTCCCAGCAGTCACTGCAGGGTTCTGCTTGTGCATTATGGGCCGGGGATAGTCACATAATCACAGGGCAGGCCTGGGAAGAGTTGGGCACATTGCTACCCAAGACAAAATTTTGATGACGAGGCAGATGAAAAGAGTAGATATTGGCGGCAAACAGCAGTGTCTGCCTTGGCTGAACTGGGCTGTGGCCCAGAGCTGATTTTGTCCCCAGAGATGATAGGGCTTTGGCAGGCAAGAGGCTTGAAAAGGAAACCTCATGGGGAAAAAGTCCTTTTTCTCTTTTCCTAAGGCAGCAGTTTTGAACTCTGGTTGCAAATTAGAATCACCTAGAGCACAGTGAGGGGAAAAGATTCCCTGCACCCTACCCCTTGGGATTTGGATTTCATTCATTAGGGATGGGGCCAACTGTGCAAATAGTTCAAAAAGCTTCCTTAGTGATTCTTCTTAAACTATTTTGGAAGGAATTTCAATCATATACAAAAGTAGAAAGTTGTGTACTGACCCCTGGGGTACTGGGGCTTCAGCAGTGATCATCTCATGGCCAGTCTCATTTCATCTGTGTCCCCACCCACTTTCCTCCCCCTCCGTTTATTGGATTATTTCAGAGCAAATTCTGGACATCATGATTGACTTGTAAATATTTAGGTATCTATCTCTAAATGGTAAGGATTCCTTTTAATAATGTGAGCACATAAGCATTATTGGATTCCCAAGTGATTCTAATAAACAACCATGGAGGCAGACCCGAGAACAGATGCTCTGGACCTACATCAACCAGGCCTTTCCCTAGACCGCCTGTACTGGAATCACTTGAGGTGCTTGTTAAACATGCAGATTTCCAGGGGCCACCCCTTCCTACTGAATCAGAATGTCAATCAGGGACCTGGGAGCCTGCATTTTAACAAGCTTCTCAGGTGCTTGTTAACCAAAGTTATGGAACTGAGGTGCTAAAGCCTTCCCAGTCCCAAGGCCCCTCCAAATTGAGAAGTCCTAAGCCAGGGGTCCCATAGCACCTGCAGAAGCTGCAAAGTGAGAGAAGAAATAAGAGCAGGATGAGGCAGTCCCAGCTGTGGCCGAGAGGGAAAGGTTGAGAAGCCAAGCAGTGCCCAGGAGGGCACTCCTGTGTCAGCTGGACTGTCCCAGCAGTGTTCTTGGTCCGACTCACCCACCATCGGGCTCTGCCTCCTGGGGATTGAGTGTGGAGGAATGGGGCTTTGTGCTCTCTGGAAAAGGAGAAATATGCCATTGGCAGCTGGGTCTGAGCTGTCGAGCCTGGTATGCTACCTCCAGAGATAGTCAAGTTTGAGTGGCTATATTTGAGCATGGGGAGGTAGGTTTGAGAAAATCTGGCCACAAAGCAGTTTGAAATAAATTTTTCCTTGCTGTGACCTTATTGTTACTTTTAAAAATATCAAATAGTGTAAAGGGAGTGTCAGGGGACAAGCACATATGATCCAATTCTGCCAGGGACACCTTGTCCTTTTTGTGGAGCAAATCCTGGGAAAACAGTGATTATTTTTAGATAAGGTCAATTAACTAGTTTTGGGTGTACTGACTACCCCATTCTGTTCACTTGTGACCAATCCCACTACCAGGGGTCATGTCAGAGAAAGCCAAATTGAGGCCAGGACTTACATACAAACCAAGCAGTAATAAGGCACCCTGCCTGCGTGGGGTAGGGGTGGGAGTGTCAGAGGACACCTAGTGGAGAGGGAGAGTCACGACTTTCTCCACCTCTCAGCAGCAATGGCACCTCACACTCCCACACTTGGGGACCAGAAATGAGGCACTCTAACCCCTCCCAGCCGGGGAGTTTTGGTGGAGACCCAGTGGGGAGCTGGAACTCCCTTCCCCACCCAGCAGTAACTCCTTCCATTTTATTTTATGGAGCTAGTATTACCTTGATTCCAAAACCAGACCAGGACAGTACAAAAAAAGAGAACTACAGATGAATACCCTTCATGAATATAGATGCAAAAATGCTTAAAGTATTAGCCAACAGAATTTGGCAATATATAAAAAGAATTATAAACTATGAAGAAGTGGATTTGTTCCAGGGATGCAGAGATGGTTCATTGTTGAAAATCAGTTGATGTAATCCACCAAACTGAAAGCCAAGGAAGAAAGATCACATGAATCTATCAATGCAGAAACAGCATATTTTAACACCCATTTATGACAAAAACTCTCCGAAAATAGAAGGGAATTTCTTAAACTTGGTAAAGAGCATCTACAAAAACTGTGCAGCTACCATTATATTTCCTGGTGAAAGATTAAATGCCTTTCCCTTGAGATGGGGAGCAAGGTAAGAATGTCTGCTCTCACCACAGATCCACCACAGAGCAATAAGGAAGTGTAATAAGGCAAGAAAAGGAAATAAAAGTCATACAGATTGTAAAAGAAGAAATAAAACTGTCCCAATTTGTAGATTACATGGTTGACCACGCAGAAAATCCCCCAAAATCCACAAAACACTCTGAGAGCTAATATGTGAGTTCAGCAGGACACAGGATACAAGATGACACACACAAATCAGTGTATTTCTATATCCTGGCAATGAACGTGTGGATATCAAAATTTAAAACAATACCATGTACAATTGCTCAAAAGAATGAGTTACTTAGGTTTAAATACAACAAAATATACAGGATTTGTACACTGAAAACTATCTAATGCTGATGAAAGAAATCAAAGATCTAAATAAATGGAGTCCCACACTGTGTTCAGGGATTGAAAGACTCAAAACAGTAAAGGCGTTGACTTCCCCTGAGCTAATAGACAAGTTTAGCATAATTTCTATCAAAATCCCAGTCAAGTGGGGAGGGTGTGGCTCAGTGGGTAGAGCACATGCTTAGCATGCACAAGGTCCTGGGTTCAATCCCCAGTACCTCCTCCAAAAATAAATAAATAAACCTAATTTCCTCCTTCCCCTCAAAACCAAACCAAAACAAAACGAAATCCTACTCAGATTTTTTTGGAAAAAGACAAGATTAGTCTGAAATTTCTATGAAAAGGCAGAGGGAATAGAATAGTGAAAATGATTTTGAAAAAGAAAAATAAGGTGGGAGCACATAGATCAGTGAAACAGAATGGAGAATCCAGAAGTAGGCCCACACAGATACGCCTAACTGATATTTAACAAAGGTGCAAGGAAATTCAATGCAGGAAAGAGAACATTTTCAAAAAATGGTGCTGGAGTAACTGATGTTCATAGGCAAAAACAGAAACAAAAGCAACCAACTTTGACTTAAGTCTCACATTTTATGTAGAAGTTAACTCACAATGGATCATGGACTGAAACTGTAAAACACTAAACTATAAAACTTTAAGGGAAAAAAAGAGAAAATCTTTGGGTTGGGGCGTAGGCAAGGAGTTCTGAAAATTGATAGCAAAAGCATGGTGTGTAAAAATGAATGATCAGACTTCATCAAAACAAAACACTTTTTCTCTACAAAAGACCCTGTTAAAAGGATGAAAAGACAAGTTACAGACTAGGAGAAAGTATCGGCATATCATATATGCGACAAAGGACTAGCATCTATAACGTATAAAGAACTCTCAAAACTTAAGAGTGAAAGAATGAACAATCCAGTTAGAATATGGACAAAAGACATAAAGAGACATTTTACCAAAGAGGATTTACTGATGGCAAATAAGCACATGAAAATATGTTTAACATCATTAACTATTAGAGAAATGCAAATTAAAACCACAATGGAGATATTTACATAGTTATCAGCATGGCTAAAATAAAAAATAGTAATACCACCAAATGCTGACTAGGATATGGAGAAACCAGGATCTCTAATCCATTGCCGCTGGGAATGAAGAATGCTACAGCCACTTTGGAAAACAGTTCAAAAGTTTCTTAAAAAACTAAATATGTAACTACCATATGACCAGCAGTTGCTCCCCTGGGGCCTAAGTCTTTACCCAACAGAAAAATAGGAATTTACCCAATACAAAATCTGTACAGGAAGGTTCCTAGCATCTTTATTTGTGATATCCCCAAACAGGAAAACAACCCAGACGACCTTCAATAGGTGAATGGTTAAACAAATTGTGGTACATGATACTGTGGAATACAATCTAGCAATAAATGGGAACAAATTATTGATACATACAATCTCCAGATAATTATGTTGCATGAAAAAAGCAATTGCAAAAGGTTTCATATTGTATGATTCCATTCTTGAAATGACACAGTTATAGAGGTGGAGAACAGATTAGTGGTTAAAGAAGATGTGGGCTAGGAGAGAAGTGGGTGTGGCTATAAAAGGGTAACACAAGGGATCCTTGTGGTGATGGAACTGTTCTATATTTTCACTGCACATGTCAATATCCTGGTTGTGATATTGCACTAGAGTTTTGCAAGATGTTATCTTTACAGGAAATTGGGTAAAAGGTACAGGGCATCTCTCTCTATTATTTCTTAACTACATGTGAATCTAGAATCATTTTAAAATAAAAAGTTTAATTTAAAAGACTATCAGGAAGCAGCATAAAACCTAAGGGTTAAGACACTGAATCTGCAAAAAGCTTTGTTAGCAAAGGTAAATCACTGGAAGGTTCTTTCCACCCAGTGGCAAAAATGGCCACTGCAACTGCTGGCCCGCTCTCTCCCAGACTGGTCAGTAACCCTGGAGGAAAAGGGCCCCCTCCTCAGTAGTACCAGCAGGTTGTCCTCAGGGGACTGGGGTGGCAGTAGTGGGGTGCTCACTGGTGGCTGAGTGCCTATTGAGTTGCTTCTGCCCCGAGAACAAGGTCTGGCGTGACCACAGCCTCTGCTCATGGCCTTCTTTCCTCTTGCAGACACTCACCGCCGTTTTACTTGGCCTCCTTTGTCGCTGTGGGCCGTCGGACTTATGCCAATTCAGTGAACCCGGTGAGTGGCAGCCCGGCTACCTCGGAACAAGCCCGGGGGTCAGAGCCCTCCTCTGTGGGCTCCCAGGCCCTGAGCCACCCTCAGAGCAGGGCTTTAGAGCCCCTTGGAGCCACTCTCACTTGCTGAATGACCCCTCAACCCCATCGAATAAAGTTACAGGTTGAGCTTAGACTGGAGTCTCTCAGTCCTAATTCCAGCTCTATCACTAATTTCATTGAGCATTTTTTAAATGTCTGTTTCCTCACTTGTAACATGGTACAATAATCATACTTATTATATGGAGTTATTGTGAGAATTAAATAAAAATAATGTACGCACGATGAAGGCACATGGCAAGGACTTCGTACCTGATGATGAAAATGACAGTGATGATGGTGGTGGAGATAATGGTGATTGTAGATTAGGAAACTAGATAAGGTCCAGAAAGAGGAAGTAGCTTCCCCAGGCGAACTTGCTAGTTGGTGGCAGAGTCTGGGTTAGAACCTGGTCCCCTGATTCTGAGTCCAAGCACTTCTACTGTACTATGGTGCTTCTCCAAACAGCAAGAGACAGGCAGGGAAGGCCAGGCCTGGCCCACTCAGGAAGCCCTAATTATTACTGCTCAGGGGAGGCCTGGGCATCCAGTTAGGATCCTGGGTTCCTAATGTGGAGTCTGACCTTTTAAAACAGGTTGGCAGCAAAGCTGTCCTGGTCACAGGCTGTGACTCTGGATTTGGGTTCTCCTTGGCCAAGCATCTGCACTCAGAAGGCTTCCTTGTGTTTGCTGGCTGCTTGATGAAGGTAAGAGATGGTCATCTTCATCATCAGTGTCCTTATACACAGCTATTATTTGGTTGGGTTTTAAAGTTTCTGTCAAATACATATAACAAAGTTTACCATCTCAACCATTTTTAAGTAGACAGTTTAGTGGTATTAAATACATCCACATTGTTGTGCAACCATCCCCATAGCACTTTTCATTTTACAAAACTGAAACTCTATACTTAATATAAACAATAACTGTATACTCTCCCCTCCCCTCAGCCCCCAGCAACAACCATTACAATTTCTGTCTATGAATTTGACTACTCTGAGTACCTCATATAAGTGGGCTCAGGCAGTATTTGTCTTTTTATGACTAGCTTATTTCACTTGACATAATATCCTCAAGGTTGATTCATGCTGCACTATATTACAGAATTTTCTTCCTTTTTAAGACTGAGTAATAGTCCTTTGTATGTATAAACCATACTTTGCTTATCCATTCATCTGTTGATGGACACTTAGATTTCTTCCACATTTTAGCTAATGTGAGTAATGCTGCTGTGAACACAGGTATACAAATTATCTCTTCAAGATCCTGCTTTCAGTTCTTTTGAGTATTTACCCACAAGTAGAATTACTGGATCACATGATGATTCTATCTTTAATTGCTTGAGGAACTGCCATACTGTTTTCCACAGTAATGGTACCATTTTACATTGTTACCAACTGTGCACAAGGGTTCCAATCTCTCTACATCCTTGCCAATACTTACTGTTTTCTGTTTTTGTTTTTTTTTTTATAGTAACCATCCTAATGGGTGTGAGGAGGTATCTCATTTTAGTTTTGAAATGCATTTCCCTCATAATTTTTGATGTTGAGCACCTTTTCATGTGATTATTGCCCATTCATTCATCTTCTTTAGAGAAATGTCTATTGAAGTCCTTTGCCTATTTTTGAATTGGGTTGTTCTGTTGTTGTTGTTATTATTGTTGAGTTTTCGGATTTCTGTATATATTCTTGATATTAAATCCTTATCAGATAGATGATTTGCAAGTATTTTCTCCCATTCTGTGGGTTGCCTTTATACTCTGTGGATAGAGTCTTTCGATCTACAAATTTTAAAATTTCTGCTGAAGTCCAATTTGCGTATTTAATTTTGTTACCTGTGCCTTTGGTGTCATGTCCAAAAACTCATGGCCAAATCCAATGTTGTGAAGCTTTGGCCCTTTGTTTGCTTCTAAGAGTTTTATTGTTTTGGTCCTTAATTCATTTTTTTTAACATTTTTTATTGATTTATAATCATTTTACAATGTTGTGTCAAATTCCAGTGTTCAGCACAATTTTTCAGTCATTCATGGACATATACACACTCATTGTCACATTTTTTTCTCTGTGATTTATCATAACATTTTGTGTATATTTCCCTGTGCTATACAGTGTAATCTTGTTTATCTATTCTACAATTTTGAAATCCCAGTCTATCCCTTCCCACCCTCTACCCCCCTGGTAACCACACGTCATGTATTCTCTGTCCATGAGTCTTTAGATTCCACATATGAGTGATCTCATATGGTATTTTTCTTTCTCTTTCTGGCTTACTTCACTTAGAATGACATTCTCTAGGAGCATCCATGTTGCTGCAAATGGCGTTATGTTGTCGGTTTTTATGGCTGAGTAGTATTCCATTATATAAATATACCACATCTTCTTTATCCAGTCACCTATTGATGGACATTTAGGCTGTTTCCATGTTTTGGCTATTGTAAATAGTGCTGCTATGAACATTGGAGTGCAGGTGTCATCCTGAAGTAGATTTCCTTCTGGATACAAGCCCAGGAGTGGGATTCCTGGGTCATATGGTAAGTCTATTCCTAGTCTGTTGAGGAATCTCCACGCTGTTTTCCATAGTGGCTGCACCAAACTGCATTCCCACCAGCAGTGTAGGAGGGTTCCCCTTTCTCCACAGCCTCTCCAGCATTTGTCATTTGTGGATTTTTGAATGACGGCCATTCTGACTGGTGTGAGG